TCTTATGGATAATATTAAAAAAAACAAAGATTTTAGACCAGTTTCCTCCATGCCATTGCATGCAATGCAGCTTTAATGGAAAACAATGTGGTTGCAAAAGCTTTTACAAGAGTTTTATAAATCATCCTCATTTTAGTCTTTAGACAAAAGCAAACTTTGTTGTCATGATAAAGAAATCCATGAGAAAAAAAAATACAAAAAATAAGATACTCCTGAGTAAAATTAAGAAAGAACACATTTCACTTGGTACCCTAAGACTATTTCACTGCATGTTACACAGTATGATTTCAAACTTCACAAACTTTCTCATTTTGAGTGCATTTAATCTTCGTTCCACATGGCTTGTCTTTCCATGTGAAAGGTAAATATCCTGTCCATAAAGGAGTGTGATTAGTAGTCTCAGTTGAGTATTACCAAATGCAAATGGACATGATCATTATTTCAAAACCTTGAGGACAAAGTTTGGAGGAAAACAAACTCAAAATAATGTTTTATTTTCAACTGCTGGCATTACTTTCATTGACTAAAACTAAACAATAGGATAAAAAATTGAAGTATAAAATGAATTACTAATCAAATAATATATATTAATCACAATGAGAATGTATGGAATAATATAATTACAGCAAATATCACAGCTATTGTGAATAAAATTATGGTAACAATTGGTAACAAGAGACAAGTTGGTATAAACATTGCTTCACATACAAAATACAAACACAGAAACAACACTTCTCAGGAAATACTTCTTGTGAACTGATTTAGAAAATTAAATCTTATAATCACATAAATGCATAAGCATCTAGACTTCAACGATGATCCCATACATATTGTACAATCACAAATAAAAAAAGAGTTTGTAAATAAACTTCATTATCACATTATTGATATGATGTTGCCATCATCTTTGTGAACTTAACATTTGGATTTGAAAAGGAATCCAGCAGAAAATAATACAGCACGATGAACGCTGGTCCCTCGCTGAGCCCAGTTGAACCTCGCATGTAGTCTGTGCAGAACCCAAGTGGCTTGCAGGATCTCGCAAGGAGTCCAAGGAAGGGGTGGAGCTCACTGGCCTCCTGACTGACTTCTCGTCCGCTCACCATCACAGGGATTGAACACCACAACATATATAATGATTAACTTGTGAACTGTACATTGAGATCAAAACTAGTAATTCAGTTCAGATGTCTCTCGTAATGTACCGTCTTGTTGGGAAGTTTTGTCGCAGTCGAATCTACTCATACAGCAGCTTTTCATACTTGTACCATAACCACTTTCAAACATGAACACACATTTGAAGCAGAGCTTCTGGTTATTAGACCCACTCCCGGTGTTGATGTTCATCTTGTCACAGCTGCCGTTGTTAGACCCACAGCTGCTTCTCTTTGACTGGTGTAAAGATGTGATCTTCTTCAGTGTCGGATGCCTGGTACGCCTCATTGAGCGATGCCTACAAATCCAGTTTAACAAACCCTTGAGTTGTGTGTGTTTTATGTATCTTTTTTCTACCCATCACCAAGAAAGCTTGTGTTCAGGAGCATGCTGTGCTATTCTCCATTGAAGAATCTTCCAGAATGCTACTCTCTTAAAAATTACTGGCACTTTAGTGCCATAGTTGTAGAAGACCTCATAAGTATTTTTTTATTTGCTTGAGTAGAGGGAAAATTTCAGAGCTCTGTTAGACCACACCACCACCAAATTTTAGGAATTCATAAATATTTCAAGCCACACATGCAGTCTCTATAATGAATGCCAAAATACATGTTGACATATTGTCATAAAAAAATAACTATACACTTGTCTCCTCTCCTAATAACTCTCTTTTGTATATAGTGTTTTTTTTCTGCCAGTCTTTGAAATGGTCAGATTCATCAACACAATGTAGTCAATACATATTTATAAGTTTAAATCTTTGCAACTTACCAATTTATAAGTTAATTCAAGCACCTTTCACAATTAAACATAAACAAATAAACATCAAGCATTTCCCACTAGAGTACTGCATCTACATTTGGTCAGAAATATACACAAGCCTCAACTCTTAACAAACCATGCAAGTAAACACATGCAACAATGCCCAGCTTGCAGGTATCCTTAGAAGCTTTAGAAGTCTCACTCTTTACAGAATACAAGTGTACAAAGCTGGTCACCTCTGTGCGTCCATGTATATACAGCATTGCATAAAATTCTCTCTTTGTTACATTTCTCACTGAGACTCAACTGCTTATACTTTTCTATTTACTTATCATACTAAAGCTGGACTGGATTCATAAGGCCATTTTCACTATGGTACAAGAGTGAATAGTGGAAATAACTGGGGAAAGAGCAATAGAAGACGGATATACTTCATTTTTGGGGAGATTGGATAACAAATCAGAGTGACATTTTCACTGTCACTGGCAGCAAATTGCATTAAAACAAAGAGATGAAAAATAGGTACTGAAAAATTGCTAGAGGATATAAGATTATGACTATGAACAGCAAGTATAAAAATAACCAACATAAATATAGGCCATATTCACAATGCAGAAAATTAAATACTGACAGTAGTAGAAAACAGTGATTCAGCAACAACTTTCACATTAAAGCAAAATTAGCAGGGATATATCAATAAACAGATAGAAGGGTGAAAAAAAGCATTCAATCAACACTTAATGAAGATGAATTGCCAGTCACTTTGCAATCTACAATGCTTACTAGCCAAAAGCAACTTTTAATTACTTATTAAGACCTGTCAGAATATGCAGCATGGGTAATTTTCACATATTTTGAATAGAAATTTCAAATATTTTCTTTTATTATTTTTTCTTTAGTAATCACATCATAACACAATGGTTTCTTCATATATGCTGCAAATTCAACAAAGATCTTAAATAGAATGAAACTACAAAATGGTGCACTTAAGGAAAAAAATACTAAATAAGAAAACAATGCAAAATGTCTTATAGACAATATCATTATTTCAATATATGAAGGCAAGTAACTACAAAAAACACAACAAAATAACTGAGCAATAAAACAGTCTTTCCTATAAAACTAGGGAGCTGCTCCATTCCCTGTCATTAATCAACAAAATAGTATCAACATAATAAATAATACTGAGGTCAAGGATATTACTTACAAAACAATACTTAAAAAAACTAGGATAATTAACACTAATTATAATTAGGATGAGTTCCATTACAGACTCTCATAAAAGTTTTCTCTAATATAGTAATGCATCACTTTGATCTACTTGGTCCTTGAAGTCCTTTTGTTCTCTATCACTAGGTGGAGGAGCTCCCTGCTGATCTACTTTCTCAGGTAATTTGGAAGAAAATAAGCAGTGTAAACAACGCTTGGTTGATGAAATGGAGCAGTAGCAGCCTTGTGTAGGGGTGACTACATCGACGTTACGTACCTGCTTTGCTAGGAGATTTTGCTTAGTAACTTTTCGGACTGATCCATGAAGGTCTTCTCTGTCCTTGTTACTGCTCATGGTGGATGACGCCCGACTTGACCCTAAAGGGAAGTCACGTGAGGTCAGAAAAAGTCAAAATCAGTCATAACACAAAGTAAATGATAACCCACAAAGGACTTCCCAGAAATGGTTATCTGTATGTTATTAGCAGAAGGAGAACTTTACTTAATATGATATTCATTGCAAACATATAAAATAAAAAGATTCTACTAGTTAATGCAGGTCAGAAGTCACAGGTCACAAGTCTAAAAATCAGTAGTTCCTTCCACAGTAATATACAACTATTCTCATTCTTATGAGAGAACCAATTCCCTCTAATACTTTCTAACAATGAAACATATTGGCACACTTACATCCACAACCTTACATAAAAAATGATAATGTTAAATATTACTTTGTAAGTTGCTATAATACAGAGTTAATAGTGAGTTATGAATGTTAATGATCAGTATCAGTGACAGTTAGCTAGTTAAGCTGAGGTTACCAGTCCCGTGCATAATCTATCTGCCAACAGAAAAAAGGTTGCTCAGTGCAGAGGTCTCCAGGGCAATGGAAAAGAAGGAAGCATTTAGGTCCCTTTATTTTGTAATTACAGATAACAGGGAAAACTACAACTCAATTCTTTAGAATAGAGTAAGAAAAGATCATAATATGAATAATCACATGAGTGTGTGTATATATATATAAAGTAGAAAAATATGCATATACATGTAAAAGGAAGATAAGCCTATCTACAGGAAGACTACTGTACAATTAGAGCAGGACTAGAAAATATTGTAGATCTCACTACAGTTTCTCTTCCAGTAATAGATATAATACCCAAAGCAAATGCAATATATTATTCATTTGGACTTCATAATACTTTCCGTTTGCTCTTAAATAATTGAGCTTCTGGGCGTTTGGTTGAACAGACAAAACATCTTAAAACATACTGTACAAGCCGGAAATGAAGTCATACAAAAAGGTAATGAGCATGTCTACCAAGGTATCTATCTACATATATATATACAGACAGAGAGAGGAAATACATTATATATGAATATTACAGACACAGAGAAGAAAGGGATAAATATACAGATGAATCACCAAAATAGTCCACAAGGTGATTTGATTATATAAATATCATGTTGACTTCACTTTAATCTATTTAAGCTATCATTTGAAATTTAAAATTCTACACTCTGGATGAATGATACAACTCCCATACCCTATTATCTAAATGAAGTATCACAAGCTGAGGCACATGTGCTCTTTCACACATCTCATTTGCACTTAAATAGAACTATTCTTAAGTATGTATCTTAAGCTGACTTGTGAACTGTAAGGTTAATTGTTTTCATAAGCTTGAGAAGCACAATAACAAAGAATTCACAGCAACTGATATAACAATTAACAAAATGTTTCCGTAGCTTACTGTGAAAGTTACTTTAAATTTGCAGTTAATCTTTTTTAGTAGAACAGTCTTTCAAGTGATTAATATCAGAAAAGCAGGAAGTAAACATTTATAAGAAAGTTCAATAAGGGAGATCTAATTCTTTTTTTTTTTTTTTTTGCAAGTACTGGAACATCATAGCAATGAAATGCAAGGTGCAAGTGCAGACAGTGAAGTAAACATAACAGAGATGCTCACACACACACAAAAAAACAAGGCGATTGGCAACACTGTACAAGATACCAACAAAAAAACAGCAAAGAAGTGGAGCCAGTTAGTACCACTGGTAAACAATCAACACTCGTGAAATGAGTTTGGTGATGCTTATGTTAAAGGTGATTGCACTACCCAACACGAACAGCACAAAGGGCTAGAGCTGGGTGACATTACCCCTTCGCATGAGAGAACCTTCACCACTGGAAGTGCTCAACAGACTACTTGGAGCCGCGCTGTCCTCTAGGTCCTGAGAATCATTCCGCTGAATGTGCGTATCAGCGAATCTGACGTTTTTAGCAATAAACTCCTCATCTGCTTCACGCTCCCTTAAGCCCAGCACCAGAACACGGAACAACTCCCAGTCTCCGAAATTCATATGCAAAACCTAAAATAGGATCAAATTTAACAATCAGATTATTATTTTTTTGTTTCTATTTTATCTTATTTTTTTTTGGGGGGGGGGGGGGAGGGACTGAAAACTGGATATCATCTTTGAATATCAATATTTCTGAACAAATCTTTTCATTTATTTTTTATCAGAAATTATCTCTTTGTTTCATGATTCATTAACTACTACACACTAAATAAGCCCAACTCTACTGGATCTCTTACTTACCTTCTTCAGGTCATCCAGATCACAGTGCAGCAGAACTTTTCCATTGATATTATGCTCAATGAATCTTTCTTTGTAGGATGACAGCATGCCTGTGGAAACACCTTCAACCTTGCTGAATATCTCAAACAAACCTTCAATGGACAAGCTGGAGAGCTTCTTATCTGCAGCTTCAGGCTGAGGAAAAAATCATCAATTAGTAAATAATAATACTGAAAATGAGAATAAATCCCAATAATATCCTTTTCTTCCATTCTGTATCAATATTTGTTTAAACTATTTTATATACATGATCTAGCTACTTTACTACAACTAATGTAACATATCACAAAATATTGTATTGAGGACTTTCTGAGCAACATTCCTTTAACCCAACTGCCATGGATTTATGTTCTGTCCCCTGTAGTTTTTTTGTGAATTTTGTTACATACAGACAGCTCCACGTGCTCAGCCAGCAAGGAGTCTATCAGTAGGCCCTAGTGACCAATTCTGATTTCCCCATTCCTTGAAGTGGCAGGAAAATGTGTGTTTCTTTTTATTACAATTGATATTGATACTGTTATTATTGTTATTGATGTTATGCTTACTAAATTGTTATTAAAATCTTGGTAACATTTAAGACAATAATGCAAAAAATAATGCAAAAGACCCTTTCCAAAAGTCAAGGAAAAGGTTAAACAGGTAAGATAAGTAGGACTAATAACTGACTCCTTGGTGAATAAGTACTTGTAGAGCCATCTATGTGTAAATACAATAAATATACTTGTATTACAGTGAGAATGGCATGTATTCTTGCCATACATGATGATTGAGTTAGAATATATATTCAAGTAAATACTTGAAATCATACCAACTTGAATGTATCTGGACTTACTGGCAAACTGGCAGTATTTGAAGCAGTGTTCATATTCATGGGAACAGGGTTGTAGTCAACTGATGGGGCTGACTGGATGGAAGGAAGGAATGGTGGACCATAACCCCACATGAGTGGATTCATGGGTGGCATGGTGGCTGTAGAGTTCTTCTGATTGCCTCTTACCTGTAGTAATTAATACATTTGTGAAGAGGATGTTCAAAGGGAAAAAAATATGACAATGCTGGAAAGAATGCAATATCCTAAATAAGTGAAGAAAGTAACATGGAAAAGTGTACTTTTTATCAAAACAACATAAACATTCCCTGAGAAATCTTGTATCTACTTAAAAATAAGGCTCTTACTGGTCTCCTTGGAGTCGTAGTAACTTTACTCTGTGGGTCATACTGTTGGAAGGACCAAGGACTAGTAGGATTGGCGGTGAACTGTGGTCCCATGTCATCAAATTGTGGCTGATCCTCCTTGATTACCTGGAAAGCCATTCAAGGGTTAATAAAAGTATCAAGGCAATTAAATATAAATTTTGTGGGTGATAAAAGTAATCAATACCCTTAATACAAAGAAATGAAAAAAAAAAAAAATCTGACATAGTCATACCTTTCTAATGAATGGATCCAGGTTAATGGTGAATGGAAGGAAGACTTTGAGGTCTGATACATGTAAGGAACTTTTGTGCATAGAGAGAAAGATTTCAAATTTCTTTTCCTCTTTGTCCATCTCCAAGAGAGGCTCAACTTCCTTGGAATTTGGAACCTGGTTCTTGATTCTGTAACATAAACATATGATTCATTAATAAATCCTTGTCTTGGGTAACACACACAATATAAAATAGTATATACCTTTGTTGGCATTATACAAAATATCACAACTCACTTTTCAAAGAGATCCTTCAGAGAGCACTTATCATCTAGGGTGTCCTCATTGGCCTCATAAAACAGGATGAGCCATGAAGCACGGTATGGCCACTGCTCAGTAATATTAATCCATGAAGCTAAGTGATACCAGTTGAAATCTATGTGGAATGCCTTTAACAACCTGCGGAATAAATTTATCCATTATCTATCACATTTAGAAAAAGTAAATGGTTCAATACTTCTTTGTATGAACATCTTTGCTGAGTACACTGGATAATAAATCCTTTAAGGGATTTATATTATAACCTGATAAAAAGGAACAATATACAATTCACATTTTAGTCCTACAGATGTTGGAAAAAAAAAAAAAAAAAAAAATGGAATAAGAACTCTTGAAAGGATTGTTGGGTTGGATTTGTATTTGGCAACATAACAAAAACATAGGCCAAGGTTGGTTTTGGTAATCATGCATGAATTCTTTGCTTGAATTTTTTGCAAGAGTCTGTGGAAGGAGATACAGTGATTAGTGTTGAGTCTCTAAAGCTATCTAATAAATTGGTAGTTTTCTTACCTGCCAGTGATGTAAACAACATTCATCAACCTTCGCATTGATCTTGGATTTATGTCACTAAAGTAATCATCTGTTAATAACACCTGTGAGAGAAAAAGTTACATGTAAAAATTCAAAAGCAATGTGACAATATATCATATGCATATTAGAGAATTCATATACTGCAAAAAAGCCATCCACACATCACATAATCATACCTTTGTTAGATCCTGAGCACCTCCAACCCTATTGAGATTAGAGCCTATACTGGAAGCAACAGAATCTGATGGCCTGAGAGTTCTCCTGCTACTCTTGCTATTATTTCTTCTAAGGTTTTGGGAAGAACTTAGACCACTCTCTGATGACATGCGACGATTAGCAGGAATCTGTCAAAAGTAAGGAAGCAATAATAATGTGACTTGTATTTTAGGCCATAAATCAAAGAGGGTAGCATATTGCTATACAAGCATAAGCATGGATAAAGGTAAATATTTTGTATTCAAAGCAGTTCATATGCTCATACAGTATAAGTATATGGTGCAAATGTAGAAAGCATGAATGGTGATAATAATGGATTCTTAAAATATGTGAAGAATATGTGTAGTGACTAAAGTTATAGGCTTGAATAAAGCAAGGCAAGACACAAATCATAAGCATTACTTGAGTGTTCTGACTTTATATTTATAATATGTATAAAACTGAAATCAATATTCAAATGCTTCAATTTACAATTTTCTATAAATGAGGCTTATATCCCTTATGGTTACATAAAAAGTCATCAACAAAGCCTATGTAAAGGTATTTCCTAAGCTGTTCAGGTAAAACAAATATCTCTTCACAAAAATGTAGCTGATGAGTCATGCTCAAACTATTTTAGTGGCAGATTATCATTAACATTATTAAAATCAATATCCAAGCATGGAGTATCAATAACACAATCAGTGGCACAAAATTCTCTGATACTGTTCAGTAGTATAATAAAACTGAATTGGATTTTTTTAGAAATCATATGCAAGAGGCTAGAACTTCTAAATATACACCTCAGTTAATGTTCCTCTTATAATTCATTTGTGTAATGTAAGTAGAGTGCAAAATCCCTTTGTTGCATTTTTTTTTTTTTTTTTTTATGGTAACCTTTTATTACTGTATGTTTAAAAGCACTATATACGTATTTCTAGAATTATAAATCAAAGATGGGAATGGAAGAAATTTATTTGATAAGATTATCAAAGATAGGGTGAATTTACACCAATAAAAAATAAAATATCAGTGCAACAGAGGAGAGACTGATAAAACAAAAGACAATACAAGAATGGTTAATGAAATGTGAAGAAACTTAACACATTTAAAGATACACGGAGGAGAAAAGTTATAGAAAAGTCAACAAAGGTTAGGGAAATGACAAGGAGAAAGAATGAGAAAAGAACAAAAAACACATACAAAAGCCCAGCTTAGATATTAAATGTAAAATAAGCAAAGAATAATGTGGTAAAATAGGGAAAAGGTAAAGATGTAAGAGGACATTTCACTTTAAGAGATGACGTGGTAAACACAAAGTTGCTGCCAAGATATGTTACTAAGGAAGCTGTGTTTGAAAATGTGGGTACTGCACAGAAAAAAAACAAAAAAACAAAAAAAAACATATATATGTATAAATATATATATTTATAATAATAATAATAATAATAATAATAGTAATAATAACAATAATAATAATAATAATAGTAATAATAACAAAAATAATAATAACTGAGGCCAAACACACTGCATAACCACCAGCTGCATAACTAAAGCCACAAGGAGGTTTCAGGAGGACAAGGACCAGGGGCACGGACACAAGAATGACAGACACGGGAGGACACAGTGGGACACGGGGGGTACTTACGGAGAAATTGAATCCGCTTTCGCTGGATATTGCACGTTTTAACGGTATCTGGGGGGATCAAGGACTCTTAACAAGTGACGGGATAAGAGTTGAAAGCAAGAGGAATGAAATTAAAAAGGAGTAGATAAGTGAATGAATGGAGTTTAAAAGGTTGAGAGGAATAGACAGAATGGATTGAAAAAGGTCGAGAGGAATAGACAGAATGGAGTGAAAAAGGAATATATGACTGAATGAATGGGGTGAAAAAGGTTGAAAGGAATAATGTTTCTGAATATTGAAAAGGTGGATGAAATGAATAGTGGGCATGCAAGTCTAACAAATATATGTAAAAGGGATAATACCACACTAAAGCAGGTAACACACCAGGAATTAAGTGAGTATCCCAAACAATACTATTGGTCTAAGAAGCACAAAGCAGTCGGGTCAGGGAGGAAAGTCAGACAAGGTCACAGGTGGGTTATGCACATAGTCTACCTGTACTACTCTAAGAGTGCAATGTCTGCAAATTTTTCTAATCATTAAAAAAACAATAGTAAATGAAAATACTGTACCTTTTGAAAACAAATGTCTATATGTATGATTGCATGCATGCACATGTACACCTGTGTGTGTGTGTGTATGTGTGTATGTGTGTATGTGTGTATGTATGTATGTATTTATGTATGTATGTATGTGTGTCTGAGTGTAAGTGAGTGTAAGTGAGTGTAAGTGTAAGTGTGAGTGTGAGTGTGAGTGTGAGTGTGAGTGTAAGTGTGAGTATGTGTAAGTGTGTATACTCATATATACGTGAGTGTGTGTGTGTGCCCGTTAGTATAAATGCAAATGTCAGTGGCCTTTTCATATATCAAAGATCAAACACTTATAACCAGGACCACATGATTCAAAGCTTTTTATTCCTGATTGATAACTACATTCATTCAACAGTCTTGTCTGTCAGGAACACTAATGACTACAGTTCCCTTTTGATCAGTTAGTGCTTTAATAATGTCATATCACAATAAAAAATAAAATCAAGTTATGCCAAAATACTTCTGAAATTAACTTATGAAATAATCTTTTACTGCAAATCAATCAACTAACACAAAAGTGTTTTTTTTTTGTTTTTGTTTTTTTTTAACATTCGCACACTATATACCACAAAACAATATTGTCAATAAACAATCAAACAATTCATAAATGCTGAAACACACTAATTATCACTTCTGAAGCTAAAATATGAAATCTACTTACATGGCTAATGCCACCCATAGCAGAGGTTGTGGCAATGCTTACAGAGTCTGTCTCTACCTCTAGCCACATGCTCTGTGATCTTCCCCTGGTCTTCTCAGCTGCCTGTATATTGAAAATCAGAAAAAAAGGTCAGAATATATTTGTTCATAGGTCTGTGCATGTCAAACAGATTTCTAGGCAAATAATTTTCATATTTAATGAACTCTTAACCTAATACATAACATTACCTGTTGTGCCTGCTTGACTTTGCGCAGCCCAGAGTTCTGTAGGTAGAACGGCAGGTGGACAATGTTCCTAAGGTAGTCATGCCCACTGATGGAAGATTCATTGAATACCCGATGAACATGGAGCTCTATAGCCTAGTCAGAGGAAATGGAAGTCCATTAGTACCTCAGTAAATAAGGGATTTGTTACTCATTACATAATGTGTTAAAAGGAAATGATTTGATAGCACACATTCACTGTAGATTGTTACCACACTTTTCCTGAAGTTGGGGGAGTTTTGCTAAATACATTAATCATATCAATTTACTGTGGATGGAAAAATAATTAAAATACATATCTCTTTTGAAGCATGCATCTAATTGACCATGGCAAAGTTAAAAATAAAATGTATCTATCATTAATTTAAGCAGATCAAAAGCGTTAAACTCATTCTGAAAATTTTAGAGGACTATTCTAAGAATAAAATATCAGTACACTACTGTTTCCATACTCTATTACGTTTTTGCTGTGTTAAATGCATTCAGTGAAGGCTATAGGCTGTATACATTGTAACACAGATCTATTCAAAATGAAATTTCAAAGTTAAATCCAATTCTATAAAGGTATATATTACAGCTTTCTCTTCTGGCCTTATCACTATTAGCTGTGATGTATTTGTTCAGTTAATGAATTTTCAAAACTCTCTCAATATGCAGCCAATGCCTCTAAATACTGTTTATGTAAAGGCATTCATAACATGAAATAGGTCATAAATTGGCCATGCACTGCAGTGAGAAGTTCGGATCATCTAAATTCTATGTCATCATAAACAACTAGAATATATTAATTCACACAGACATTCTTCTAACAGAAAAATTTAAAACTACAAGTGGTTGTAGCAATATAGATATCATGGTTAGTGGTTGTCTATTTTCCTTGACTCTCTACTTCAGTTTCTTTTCATGCATGATTTTTAACAAAAGAATATTACTTTCATCTGGAATTCACTGAGATTACTGAGCACAGCATATTACTTAACCATGCACATGCAGAAACAGATGGTTACCACTGTTAGTAAATATTATTATCAAATTACACAGAAACAAATACAAATCTTATGGTTTTACTACTGGGGGTGTATGGCTGGAGGCAGGAAATGGGATTCACTACATATTTCAC